GCCTCTCTCACACCCCTACCTGGAGAACTGGCCTGCAACCCAGGCACGTACCCTGACTGGGAATCTAATCAGCAATTTTTCGCTTTGCAGAATGACACTTAATCAACTAAGCCATGCTGGTCAGAGCCCGAATGTAATTTTATAAATTGAATTCTTGTAAATTTAAGGATTCAAGTGTTCTCTGAGAACTATTAATGTAATACTTTCTTTTCGTGATAATTTTTAAAATTAACATAAACATATTCTGAATCATCTGGTGTCCTCATAACTGAGTGCTGCCTTGTGATTTTGATTTCCATGATTGCACTGGTTGTTATGAATACATGAAAGCATTTACCTTTAGTGGTTTATAAGTTTAACTTTAATGGTTTACAGGTTTAACTCTAGTGGTTTATAAGTATATGGCAGGCTGCAGTTAGCAAGTCCTAATGTTAAAATAATCACTGTTCTGGGACTTCTGCTTTATACTTACATTGAATTGCCTTATCTGTTGTATGTAGTTGCTGTCTACCATAGCAAATCAGTACAGTGATATAACTACTGCTTTGTTAAGTGAAATCCAGATGATGTCAAAGAGCACTGTGTGAACAAAGTTTTCATGCTAGCTTGAACAGAAAAATGGTAGGAAAATCGAGTCACCATCAACAAGGCATAGGCAGTAAAGATACGCAGAATCGGGAAGAAGATGCACTTCAGCATTAGGACGGTATTCATGTTCATGGAGGATATTGCTTACAGGAAACTCATCTTGTATATTTCATCTTACAATAATAGTTCATCAGCAGCAAGAGTAGTAGTAATTACCAAAGAAAACATTTTCACAAAACAGTGATTTAAATTATTTTCAACAATACATCTGGAGAAACCTATTAAAATATTAAATAGTCTAAATGAAAAAAAATTAAATAAAATTAAAGTTAATAAATCAAACCAACATTGGGGGGCCCTCAAAAATATTTTTCCTTTCACATGGGACCTCATGTTACTCTCAAGTTTGAGAATACTACTTTAAGGTAATAGATGGGGAGAGCTAAAACTTCTAAAGAGCTGGACTGGGAATCAGTGCCTTGCTCAGCAAATAAGAGTCACATTTATTTGAATTGGACAGGGAGAAAATTTAAGGAACGCACTTCTAAGAAACAGGGCAAAATATTGAATATGATTCATGCAAGCATTTTCTTAGTAACTTCTCTGACCCCAAGCAATACTTCTTAACAAAGCCCCACATAAAACTCTCAGCAACGAGCAAGTTAGTAATAGATTTTTTAAAAAGTTTTATTTATTTATTTTTAGAGAGATGGGGAGGAAGAAAGTAGGGGAGAGAAACATCAATGTGTGGTTGCCTCTTGCATGCCCTCTACTGGGAACCTGGCCCACAACTGAGGCATGTGCCCTGGCTGGGAATTGAACCAGTGACCCTTTGGTTTGCAGGCTGGAACTCAATCCATTGAGCCATGCCAGGCAGAGCAGATTTTTTTTTTTTTAATTTAATGAATTTTAGGGAAAACTTAGTAAAATTTTCAGGTGGCAGCTTGTATATCTACTAATTGATTTATTGACTCATTCCTTTTTTACTTCTATTTTTTGTTACTCTTTCCTAGGTGCAATAAACTTAAAAGCTGATGATGGTGACTAAAGGAAATTATTCTTGGTAGAAACTGTCCATCTTTATGAGTGGCTCTTTACCCAGAAAATGCTGTTCTTTTTGAGTTGCCTTTAATTGCTTTTATCTGCCTTCCTACCTTCATAGAAATTCTCTGAGGTTTTGGCTTTAGCTTACCTCTTTCCACTCTCTCAGTAATTTCATTTTTCCCCAGTTTCAAGTATCCATGATATTGTGAATGATGTCAAAAATATAATTCATTAATATATTTAACAAATTTTTTTTGTATCTATTACATACAAGGAAACATGCTCCTAAGTATTAGATTTATAGCATAGTGAACAGGGCAGGCATCCCATAGGCTTACCCTCATGTTTACACATTTCCAACTTCTTCCTGGCCACCCTTCCCTGGAATCTCAAATTCCACAGGCCCCAAAGTGCGCTCTTAATCATCTCCTCCAAAATCTGTTTCACTGCATTTCTGTGAATTCCATCCAATTTAGTCACTCTTCAAAAACACCTCAATAGATAGTGTCTCATTTATGTTTGCATGTCTGGTACTTAGCAGAGTGTAGGCCTCCTATAAACAGCGGAACAGTAAGTATGTAATTAAACTACTGTGCTGTTGATTCTAATTCTGTATCTCCAATAATGATCCCTGAACACCTTCACTTGGATGTCTTGGCAGTATTTCAATGTTGTTTGCTTCAAACCAAACTGATTACGTTCTTCTTAAGAGAGGAGTGAGGTGCCCTGGCCAGTCAGCGCAGGTGGTTAGAGAGAGCATTGCCTTGATACACTACGTTTGTGGTTCCACCTCTAGTGAGGGCACACACAAAAATCAACCAATGAATGCATAAATAATTGGAACAAGAAATTGATGTTTCTCTCTCTCAAAAATAAATAAATAAGTAAATAAATAAAATTAGTTTAAAAAACAAAAGAAGAGTCAGTAATAGTGAACTCCAGAGTTACACAATCTGATCTTACCACTGTAAGGCACTGCGGTATGCCATGGGGCACCATTAACATTATAGTCTCTGTAATATCACATTAGCATATTGGTAGCATCTAGCCAGCGCCCCAACCTGGGAACAGCCCCACAACCCAGGAATGTGCCCTAACTGGGAATTGAATCAGCAACCTTTCACTTTGCGGAACAATGCTCCGCACCTGTCAGGGTGTTTGTCATTATTTTTAATCTCCAACCTGCTTTTTCTCCAGTGTTTCCTGTCACTGGTTAATAACATCACTGTATGTCATCAAAAATAAGAAACCAAGATATTGGACAGCATCCTCTTTCTTCTCACTCTAAGTCCAATTAATCCTAAGGTCTAGAGAAACATTATTTCTTTCCTTTTTCCCATCCTGCTGCCAATGTCATATTACAGTCCTGAGAATTCTCTTGTCTGGGTCTTTGCAGTAGCCTCTCAATTGATTTCTTTAGGTTCTGGAACTATGAAGATAATAAAACAGGTAAAATTCTTCCCAAATTACTGCTGAACAAGTCAGAACAAAACAATGGCATATTTGAAAAAATGGAGATAGAGGCATATACTAAGTCCTGTAGAAGGATAAAGATAAAAGGAAAAAACCCCTCTGCCGCCTTTCTGAAATCGTTACTGTTCTCTCTCTCTTTTAAAGATTTTGTTTATTTATTTTCAGAGAAAGAGAGGAAGAGAAACATCAGTGCGTGGTTGCCTCTCACATACCCACAGTTGGGGACCTGGCCTGTAACCCAGGCATGTGCCCCAACTGGAAATCAAACCTGCGTCCCTTTGGTTTGCAGGCTGGCGATCAACCTACTGAGCCATACCAGCCAGGGCTGAAATTGTTACTGTTCTCTAAAAAAAGAGACTCCACAATCATTTAATTGGACAACAAATATTCAACAGATTTCTTCTCTTTTCAGAACTCTGTCCTGCTATTTCATTTTTTATATTCCCATGGGGATAGGCGGTGTCATCTTCCTGGGGCAGGATATCTCTTTCGATTTTTAAATGAGACGAATAAGCTCAAGTGCCCAGCCCAGGGCCTGGCACATGGAAGATGCAATAAATGGTCATTTTCTTTTGGCTGAAGTAGGCCAGTGTGTTGTTGGTTTAATTTGCATGTACCATTTATCATCCACTAATAAGCTCTGAAATCTATGTCTCCTGTGCCTCCTCAAGAAGAAAATGAATAATGGCCAAAAAACTGTTCAGCCCCAGGCAGGAAAAAAAAAAAACAAAACAAAAATCACTGCTTTTGCAAAGTAGGATGATCAATACCAAAAAGCTTGAGGTGCTTAGCCAGCATGACACAGCACTTCCCCATTTCCTATCTTGCTATAAGGTCCAAAGGAGTTGGTAGGATTGTGGGGGTTGGGGGCCGAAAGAGGGACAGGATACTTTATTAAATGCTCCTATTTTAGTATCAGGTGCTCTGTTGTCACCTGCGGGGCACAGAGATGGGTCAGCCTTTACCCTCCAGAAAAACCAGTCTAGCAAGGAGAGGCAGATAGGTAAACAAGGAAAATAGATTATTTTATTTTTTTGAATACAAAGGAAGAATGATCAATACTGGGGCCGAGTAAAACTCAGAGTAGCTTCAGAGGAATTCTGGAGATGAGCCAGGGTCCGGAACAGCTTCAGAGTAAGTAGTGCTTCAGTTGAGGTTTTTAAAAAAGATTTTATTTACTTTTAGAGAGATAGGAAGAGAGGGACGAAATGAGAGGGACACATGGATGTGAGAAACACCCATCCGTTCCCCGAGCCGGCGGACCGAACCGCAACCTAGGCGTGTGCCTCAACCGGGAATCCCACCGTGAATCGACCTTTTGGTTTGCGGGAGGTCGCCCAACCAACTGAGCCACACAGAGCCTGGGCTTCACCCAGTTTTTCAAACCACAAAACACAGAAGCGACAGTCAGATTTTAGAGTCCCTCCAGACGCAGTGAAAGGCATGGGTGGGGGATGGAAAGCGGCAATGCTGTAATTGGAACAATGAAGGAGGCTGTCTAAGCAAGCATTGAGGGGTACTGAAGATTAGCACTAAGGCAGAGGATGTGAAGACCCACCGAGAGGCGGGCGCACTATTTGGTAAGATAGTTCGCAGAGCTTGGTGTGGTTAAATGTGGTCTTCGGCGGGCAGTAGGGAGACGCCTACCCTGATTTGGGTTTTGAGGGGGAGGCGCGCACCATCGCCCAGTTCCTGAAGAGATCCTGGCTAACAGAAGCATTAGGGTTGGGAGTCTTTAGCAAGAGTGTGCCTCATCCTCCGACCCCAACCATTGGCTGCGGGTTGGGAGGATGGGTACTTTGGACACTCCAGCCCGCCCCCAGGAAGGGAATGGAAAGCGCTGAGTCATTCCGGCTGGGTGCGTAGGATCCGGGCGGCGCTCCGGCCATATCCCCCTCCTCTTTCCTCCTGCGCTCCCACCCTCACTGACTCTCGCGAGAGCCCTACAGGCTATAAAGATAGTGCCGCGAACTTGCGCGCGCTTCGTGAGTCTTCTTCCTGGAGTGCAGGCCTTGGTATTTGCGTCTCCCACCCGGTGAGTGTGTGGGCAGCGCGGCCTCGGCGAGCGAAGCTCTCCACATTCTGCTGGTCGCCTATTACTCCTTCCCCGGGCGCGCCAGCCTCTACTGGGGGCTTTGTGATTGGGGAGGTGGTCTGGCGTGGCTTGCCGTCCGAGACTGGTCAGGTGGTTCGCGCACCCTCACGCGGACCCCCCCACTTGTGGGTCCAGGTATCTGGATGAACCCTGAGGCTAAAGTCGGCTGGAGTCTCCTCTCCTCCCGGCAACCTGGAGAGAAGGCGCTGATTGGCTTGGAAGAGCAGGCTAGTGGTAGTGGCTTCCTTCGATTAGTTTCCTGCCGGGCAGCTCGAGAAGGTTCTAGAATGGACTGACCTGAGGTCACCCGTCGGTCATGTGTAGGGGTAAAGGCTGTATCCAGTCTTGCGCCGTTATCTTGGGCTGTGAAGCTTCGGCTATTAAGATTCCCTTCCCTTGCCCTTATTTTTTCATCTGCGGAGTGGGGTTTGTGGTGGTCTCAAATACCCTCGTTAAAGTCAAGATCCATTGACTTAGGACTTCCGAAGTGCTGTGGTGAATGTGGTGGTGGGAGTGGCAGGACCTTAAGTGGGGTTTTGGGGCGTGGTTTTCGTCAGGGAGGTTCTTGCTCAGACCTCCTGACGAGGCCTAATGGGCTGGAAGTCCAGCAGGCTTTTCTCCCAAGGGGGTAGGGCTTTAGTGCACGTAGGGGTCTCCTGAAAGAGCCTGTTTGGAGGAGGCCATTTATGTTAGGGTCACACCCTATATTCGGTCGACGAGTGTCAAGGTCCCTTAACTGGTGTTTTTTTGTTGTTAAAGATGTTAAGTGTAGAAAGCTTGAGATGATTAATGTTCACTCACAACGTTTCTTTCGGTTGTGGTAGTATGAACTAAAAACTTTGGTGTTTAAAAACTAGCCTTCTCGGGCTTTCAGACCGATGCTTACTGCGTCTGAATCTTAACCTCCTTGGTGTTGACCTGGGTGAATCCAGTGAAACATTGCTTTTTAGAAATGATTCCTGTACTTACTGTCCCAGGATCTTGATCCTGAGGATAGAGACCCATTTTTGAAAGGACTTGTAGAGCTTAAACACAAGACAACTAAAGTTTTGAAGTTGAGCCGATGCCAGAATCCTGGTCCGGCCTCTTAAAAAGTTGGATTGGCTTTAGTGTGTGTGTGTTCTTGGCAAATCTACCTGGAGAATCAAGTGTGCTTCCCGCAGTATAAAGATAGAGGTGCAGTCCAGGGAAAGGACAACATTACTAGCTTTTGGGAGTCAGGCACTCTGACATTGTGCATTTGGGTTCAGGTTTGAGTGTCCCCTCTCTGCTTCTGCATAATGAAAATATAGAGGAAACTGCCATTGCACAAATGATAGTTTAGGAAAGGTAATAGAAGTTACTTCAATTTATAAAGGAATTGCTATTTTTTCCAAGATTTTATTTATTTCCAAAGAGAGGGGAAGGGAGAGAAACATGGATCTATTGCCTCTTGCATGCCCCCAGCTGGGGACCTGGACAGCAACCTGGGCGTGTGTCCTGAACTGGGAAGCCAGCTAGCGACCCTTTGGTTCACAGACCAGCACTGAATCCACTGAACCACACAAGGGCAGAAATTGCTATTTTTATTTTGTATTTATTTTTAGAGAGAAGGGAAAGGAGGGAGGAAGAGAGGGAGAAACATAAGTGTGAGAGGGACATGTGGATCCCTTGCCTGTCTTACATGCCTTGACCTGGGACAGAACACGCAATCCAGGTAATTGAACTAGCAACCTTCCATTTTGTGGAACTAGGCCCAACCAGCTGAGCCTTACAGGTCAGGCTATAAAGAAATTGCTGTTTTTAAATGAAAACAAAGGGTGATATTCAGAGATGTGTGATACCTGGTTTTGTTTCAGAAGTTAGAAAGCTAAGCTTATGCTTCTTACTATTCTAATATAAAAGTTAATGTATTTTTTCAGGACCACCAGACAAATCCTTGCTGTAGTACATCTAAGTCTAAGCAGGTGAAGGGTGCTGGTTATCTAGAGAAAGAAGACTTGTTTCAAATTCATTTCCTCTTTTTTTTTTTTTTTTTTTTTTACAGCTGATAGCAAGATGTCTTCAGGAAGTGCTAGAATTGGGCACCAGGCCCCCAACTTCAGAGCTACAGCTGTTATGCCAGATGGCCAGTTCAAAGATATCAGCCTATCTGACTACAGAGGTAAGAGGAATTAGATTAGGTTCATTGAAATACAATTATTTTGCTGTTTAGGGATAGGTTGTTCAGTTTTTTTATCTTTGTATGTTTGGTTGTAAAATGATTTTTGTCTCCTTGGTCAAGGTGTTTTGGGTGGTAACACTGTTGCCTTCATGTTGAAGCCAAGTAGTGATTATCAACAGTTACTAGGGTAGTTATCCTAGGTCTGGTCCACACTATTTGGAGAAAGCACATGTCTCATTATACCTGACCATAATAGCTCAGTTATCTTCTCAGTACTCAATTGTATTATTGGAGATAGACTCATTATCTGTCTCATTATCTCATTGTAAGAGGTTTTCAATAATTTAAAGTCTCAGAGCTTGTGTTTGGAGCTGTGACATTGCTTGTTCAGTTTATGAAATATGTGTCATAGCTACTGTGTTATTAAGAGTGTTTAGGCACATTCCTTTGACTGTTTTGCCCCCAGAGGAGAGTTGATGTTGCCATTGGAACAGTTCTTTCTGTTAAAGCTTCATGCAGACACTTGGCAAATTCTAATAAGGCTCTCCTTTACCTCGCAGTTGGGAGCAGCTGGGTCTTCTGGGACAACTGAGATTAGATTCTTTAGAATGCAAACCTGAAACTCTGGTGACATGTATACCTTTTTTAGTGATGTGTAGTAATCAGTTCTTAGAGTCAGGTTTTGGGTAGAACATATGACTACATTTCCTAACACATTACACTTGTTGGTTAGAATGAGAGCAGGTTAGTGGGGCCCTGTGGGGGGAAGCTTCTCTTGGCAAACAAGGTAAGTAGGATCATGGGGAGTTGACCCTGACCCAAAAGTAAAGGCAGGATGTTTAGGAAGAGCTGCTTTCTGTCCCCCCCCCCCCTTTTTTTAAAGATTTTGTTTATTTTTAGAAAGAGGGGAAGGGAGAGAGGGATAGAAAGAAACATCTGTGTGTGAAGGGAAAAACATGGATCAGTTGCCTCTTGCACGTCCCCAAATGTGGACCTGGCTTGTAACATAGGCACATGCCCTGACTAGGAATCAAACCAGTGATCTTTCGCTTCGTGGGAAGATGTCCAATGAACTGAGCCATGTCATCTAGGGCTCTCTGCCCTCTTTGAAGCTGCTTGTTAGGCAGTGCCCTGGAGAGGTGGTTTGGAGGAATTTCTACTGATTGTGATTTTCAAAGTGAGTGTCAAAGGAGCAACTTTTCTGACTCTCAAACATTGCTGTTTCTTGGAAGTGAGTATTTTAACTGTTCTAATAGCTCAGCACATGAGGTATGAGAAGATCTACTCAATTGGTCATCTGAGTGACTTCAGTAAAATTCCAACTGGAAATCCTATTTCCTGCCAGGATTATTGGAATGTTTGCCATATAAAAATTTTCTATCAGCCTTGTTAGGGACATGTTTGTGGTGATTCAGGTGATCACTTAAACCTTATCCATTCAGTGACTGTGGTTCATTGTGAAAGAAGTGCAAAGGCTCTGACTTCCTCTTGTTGGCCTCTTACTGCCTTGCAGCAGAGAATCCAGCATTTCAGTTTTTCTTAGGCACTGATTGTAAGTACTGGCATTGGGCTATCCAGTAGATAACTGCATTACTGCTTTTGCTTTTCTTCAATGGACAACTGGGTGTCTGTGCTAATTTTGACTACCCAGAGAAAATCAAAATTCGACTGAATAGCATTTGTTCTGTTGTTTGCAGCTAATATGGAGACAGAAAAATAAAGCATATACTGGAAGGAACTTTTTTTCATGCAAGGCCTCCTGCTGCAAGAGAGCCTTGGGGCATTTGAGAACTTACTCCCTGGCATGTGTCATCAGTTTGGCTGAAATACACTATAAAAATTAAAAAAAAAAAAAATTCTGAAAATAGCTGCTAGATGGCTAGGAGACATTTGTATTTGAGTATCTTGGTATCTAGCGATTGTGTCTGGCATCAACTTAAAAAGGCCTCCTGCCATGACTGGTATAGCTTAGTGGGTTGGGTGTCGTCATGCAAACCAAAAGGTCGTAGGTTTTATTGCCTGTCAGGGCATGTGCCTGGCTTGCAGTCCAGGTCCTCGGTTGGGGATGTGTGAGAGGGATGTTTGTCTTGCACATCAGTGTTTCTCTCCCTCTCCTTTTCCCTTCCTTCTCCTCCAAAAATAAATAAATAAAATCTTTAAAAAAAAGGAGACCTTTTCTATGGGAAAATGTCTTTAGTTTTCTATTCTCTATAACGCAAGGATATCTGTTTCAAAGGCTAATTTGCAGCTTTTTTTTTCCCCTAGGAAAATATGTGGTGTTCTTCTTTTACCCTCTTGACTTTACCTTTGTGTGCCCCACGGAGATCATTGCTTTCAGTGATAGGGTGGAAGAATTTAAGAACCTCAACTGCCAAGTGATTGGTGCTTCTGTGGATTCCCACTTCTGTCACCTGGCATGGTAAATCTAATCTGTTGGTCCATTTTGCATATGGACTTTTTAACTAACCGGGAACTGGGACTTGAGGCTTTGGCAATAACCTTTTACTAGTATTGGTTTCTGTCTTCTGGAAGGAGTATAAAGGCTCTGGCCTCATCTTGTTGCTTTCTTATTACCTGGCAGAGGAGAAGCAGCTTGGGTTGAATCTGAATATACCAGAGTTTGAAGTTTATTGGGAAGATCAGGAATGTTGGAAAGGGGGAGTTATATAGGTACAGTTAATATATTTGCTACACCAGAGTCCGAATGATTCTGTGTGCCTTTGCTGTAGGATCAACACACCCCGGAAACAAGGAGGACTGGGATCCATGAACATTCCCTTGGTATCAGACTCCAAGCGCACCATTGCTCAGGACTACGGGGTCTTAAAGGCTGATGAAGGCATCTCATTCAGGTATGTACCTGCGGGAAAGGGGGCTCACATTAATCAGGACAGATAGGGTGGCTGAGGGCCTTCTTGGAGAAAGAGCCCTAATCTGTACAGATTCCTTTCTCATTTTATTTTTTTACTAGTTTTATTGAGAAATAATTAACATATATCACTGTGTTAAGTTTAAGGTGTCCAGCATGATGGTCTGTCTCATTTAATTCTTTATGCACAGGCATCCTCACTAAGGGCAAGACCTGTGCAAGTCTGGGAGACTAGCCCATTCCATGGCTTCTCTATTCTGACAAGCCAGTTTTTAAACCTTTGCTGCCTCTTCCTCAGACCTTGAATCTTTTCTTTGCAGAGGCCTCTTTATCATTGATGACAAAGGTATCCTTCGTCAGATCACCGTAAACGACCTTCCTGTTGGCCGTTCTGTGGATGAGACTCTGAGACTGGTTCAGGCTTTCCAGTTCACTGACAAACATGGGGAAGGTAATTCAGTTTTCCCAGCGACAAGACAGCAGAATGGTGGTAAAGTGGGAAAGGTTTATGGACAAACAAGAAGGAGGGTGATTGTGTCTCTTCAAGAAATTGAAGTCTCTGGATTATAGTGGGTTGTGGGGATGGGGTAATGAAATAGCTTGGGGAAGAGAACATAAAAGCTTTTTATTCCAACTGTATATTCCCAGCTTCTGCCCTGCTCATTTAGAATTACTGCTCTACATTTAAGTTATTAAAGAAGTGTAGGAAGATCGCATAGGTGTCTAAGGGTCAAACGAAAGTTTGAGAACCACATCCAGAGTTAAAATGTGCCATTCTTGACAAGTGTTTATTGGGAGAAGAGTTAATCTCTGTAGGCCATATTTGTTTTATTGGGGTTTTAAAGAATAAAAGTCATATATGACTAGTTTTGAAATTTAGAAAATAAAGTAGGAGTAAGACAACTTATCTAAGGACAAGAGGCAGATACAGCTATAACACATTTTTTTTTAAAGATTTTATTTATCTTTAGAAAGAGGAGAAGGGAGAGAGAAAGAGAGGGAGAGAAGCATCAATGTGTGGTTGCCTCTCATGTGCCCACTACTGGGGATCTGGCCCCCAACCCAGGCATGTGCCCTACCTGGGAATCAAACCTGCAACCTTTTGGCTTGCACTGAACCTGCAGCATTTTGGCTTGCAGGCCAGCTCTCAATCCACTGAACCACACCAGCCGGGGCTATTTTTTTAAAACATATATGAGGAGAGGTTAGGGAGAGGGTTTCAGATGAAATATTAAGGTTCTTCATTTAGAAGTTTCAGGATCAAAGATAATGTGTTTGTAGGTCTGACTTTGTAAAATCTAAACATGACTGAACAGATTTCACTTAAGGTTTTTATTTTTTAAAGATTTGTTTACTTACGTATCTTTAGAGAGAGGGGAACGGAGGGAGAAAGAGAGGAAGAGAAACAGCAGTGTGTGAGAGATACATCAACAGCTGCCTCTAACATACCCCAACTGGGGACCTGGCCTGAGACCCATGCATGCGCCCTACTTGGGAATCAAACCTGCAGCCTTTGGTCACAGGCCAGTGCTCAATCCACTGAGTGAGCCACACCAGCCAGGACTCAACTTAAGGTTTTCAGTCTAGTATTTATTCTAGCATTGTAGGCTCTTTTCTCACTGCTCCAGCACTAGTATTTCTCTACATAATTTTTTTTTTAAATGTATTTTAGAGAGAAACACCAACTGGTTGTTATACTTATTTTTGTATTCATTGGTTGATTTTTGTGTGTACCCTGACTGAGGATCAAACCTGCAACCTTGGCATATGGGGACAATGCTCTAACCAACTGAGCTACCTGGCCAGGGCCTCTTCTTAAATATTCTGATTATTGATAACTACTTGATCCCAGTTTTTGAATTTGTAAGGCTGTAGCTTTTTTACCCCCCTCCCCACTCCTCTGTTCAGTTGTTGGTATGAGACAACATTATCCCAACTAGGAGTTAATTTAGTTTTAAGGACTTAGTTCCTGAGGCTGCAGGCGCTGGGTATGATGGGGAAGAGGATCTTGACTCCGCCCCCCCCTCCGCCCCCAACCTAATGTAATTGAGAACAAGGTAATTGTGATAAAGTGCTACTGAATCAGATTAAGTGCACAGGTGGACTTGGACAAATTTCTTACCTTATTATATTTTCTCTAGAAGTTAAGTACTTCAAACTGGTTTTCTAAGGCCCATTCAGTGCTTGATACTGTGATTTAAAGAAGATGAATGTTGTTAGTCTGTTTCAGATAACCACACTGTTATCTGAATCTGTTTGGGAGACCCAAAAATGAAGTTTGGCCAGAGTGAAAGACCAGTCAATAGGGATCAGTGAACACTGATACCAGAAAGCACCATTTGCAAAAGCTTGTGTCAGGGTAGATTGAGGGAGCAGAAGGCTGCTGGGACTGCCCCCTGGTGGGGGATGAGCACAAAGACAGGAGGAGTGGCACAACTGGCCTTTTTTTTTTTTAAAGGAGTGTTCTTTATTTTTAGAGCTCTGAGTTTAACAAGTATACCTTATTAATTACATTATTCTGCTTTTCTATACCTTTGTGTATTTTTGATCCATTTGATGGTCTGACAGAAATGATTTAAAGCTCATACCTTGTGTATTTCTCCTATAGCTCTTATTTGGTGAGTTTTTTTCCATAATTATTTGGTATATTGATATTTGTATCTATTACATCTTTTTATGAATTGTTATTCCCTTTAGAATTGAAAAGGGCCTGAATTAGCTGTATTTAAAACTTCCTTTTTTGGCCTAAATTCTACCTTGTATGGTATTAAGATACCTCTTTTTTTTCTTTTTCTTTCTTCTTCTTCTTCTTTTTTTTTTAAATAAACTGGCCTTTTATTGGACTTTCTGAAAGGACCTTGCATATAGGCTAGACTATTGAACCCCAGCTTTCATGACTGAAGCTTGCTTCTTCAGGCTCTGTTGGTCTCTGTTGCTTCCCATCCCACTAGAATAGACATAGCTTTCTGTGTGCAGCCTTTTATGGCTTATGATAGTTACCATTTGAGCACCTATGAATACAAAGCACTCTATATGAGGTATGATACATTTGTTTATTTGACAAGTAACCCTACCTTCTATTTTTTCATACTTAAAAAAAATTTAGTTATTTTAGAGGAAGGGAGACAGAGGCATTGATTTGTTGTTCCACTTATTTATGGTTGATTTTTACATGTTCCCTGATCGGGGATTGAACCTGCAACGTTGGCATATCAGGATGATGCTCTAACCAACTGAGCTACCTGGCCAAGACCCTGTGGGGTTGGTTTTCTTTTTTCCCTTTTTATTTTATTTTATTTTTTATTTTTTGGAGATATAATTGACATAACATTAGTTTCAGGTGTAGTACATAATAATTCATATTTGTATAACCTACATTCCTGTTTTCAAGGACCAGTAAAACCAATACATAAACACAGTGCTTATTCATAGTATAATGTTGAAATCAAAATTCACAGCTCTTTTTTTAAGGTAATTAAAATACTGAAAAAGTCATGTATAGGGCCTTCTATGTTGGAGAAGTTCTCTCATACTGAGATTATCATGACTAGTGTCATTTTCTTGGAGAGTCATAGTACTTAAGCTGCGCTTTAAAGCTGGTTTATGTGGTACTCAAGCAGTTCAGTTGGACTCCATAATACTATTTTATCTTTACCTGAGAACATTTTTTTCATTGCTTCTAGAGGGAGAGAGAAAAATCAGTTTGTTGCCTTCTTATATGTGCCCCAACTGGGAATTGAACCTGTAACCTGGGTGTGTGCCCTGACTGGGAATCAAACCTGTGACCCTTTGGTCCATGGGATGATGCTCCAACCAACTGAGCCACACCAGCCAGGGCTGGACTCCAAAATAATTTTGAAAAACCAAACCAATATTGGGATTTGAGTAAAGCATCCAAGTATAGATCTTTCTGTGTAATTACTGGTATGGTCTTAAGTGCCATGAGATTTTGGTGTCAAGGAGACTAATTAGGCTGCTGTAAAAGCTTTGTATTTTTTTTGTGGACAGAAGAAACTTTTGGCTTCCTGTTAGCACCTACTGCTAAGCTTTTGCCTGTCTGTGGCCTGGTCTTTGCTTTTATGCTGCTCTTTGTTCTATGCAGCTTGTTCATACTTAGGATGTGTTTTAACCCTTTGGTGCCACAAAGACAGTAACTATTTAACAATCAAATGGGGATTTCAGGAAGGTAATGGCAGCTGTGCCTGCCATTTCACACTTGTTCCATCCATACCTTGTTGCCATTTTGCTGGTTGCAGTTTTGACATTTGAGACTATTCATTGGACTGAAAGGGTCTTCCCTTCTCTCACTTGAGCAAGTGAGGTTTTTTGTTTTTAATCCTTACCGAAGGAAATACTTATTGATTTTGGAGAGAGGGGAAAGGAGGGAGAAAGAAAAGGAGAGAAACATTGACTGGTCACCTGCTGCATGTGGCCAGACTGGGGACTGAACCCACAACCTAGACATGTGCCCTAATTGGAAATAGAACCTGTGACCCGTCAGTTCATGGGAAGATGCTCCAACTGAGCTGCTCTCCAGGGTTGGGCAAATGAGTCTTTCTGCTCTGTTGTTGGTGACTACATGTCTCCTGAAGACAAATCGTTTAAAAAAAGGGGGGGTGGAAAATCAGCAGTGGTCGCCCCCTTGCCTCACTTCCCTCAGATTAGCCAAAGTAGCATTGCTAGCTCAGGATTGTAAGATTGTAGGAAAAAGTTGAAGGCTATGCTTTTTGCATGTGTGTGAAAGATTCAAGCTCGGACCTTTTCCTTACCAAGGGGTGGAAGGCAGGCTGAGTTGAATGCATGCAGGGTGCATGCAGGGCCTTCTGATTTGAACACTGAGGAGGAAGAAATAGCTAGTGTTACGAGTTTAAAACAGTCCTGGCTTAGTCATTTATTCAGCTTCGTTTTTTTCTTGGGTATAGGGGCAAGTCATTTGAGTTTTTCAATCAATTTTTATTGTGGTTTTATATATGTATATAACATAATTTGCCATTTTAAGTATGTGATTCAGTTGTATTAATTATATTCACATTGTTGTGCATCCATCAACTGCTATTTCTTGACCTTTTTCATCATCCCAAACAGGCTGAAACCATTAAGCAAAAACTCCCCATGCCCCTCTCCCTCCAGCCCTTGGCCATTTCTACCTTGTGGCTGTGAATTTGCCTATTCTAAATATTTCATGTAAGTGAAGTCGTACAATGTCCATTTGTGTGTGGTTTCTTAACACATTGTTTTCAAGGTTCATCCATGTTTTAGCATGTGTAGCATGTATCAGACCTTGCATACCACATTTTGTATATCCATCTGTTGATGGATACAGGGTTTTTGCCTTTTGGCTATTGTGACTAATGCTGTGAGAATACCAGGGAATAGGTGTCTTGAGTCCTTGTTTCCAATTAGAGTAAATACATAGGTGTGGAATTGCTGGATCTTGTTTAAGCTTCTTGAGGAACTGCCAGTGTTTTCCATAGCAGCTGCACCATTTTACATTCCCACCAACAATACCAAGGGGTCTCTATATCTTTAGTAACACTTATTTATGATTTTTTTTTTTAAGATTTTATTTATTTTTAGAGAGAGGGGAAGGAAGGAAGAAGGAGGGAGAGAAACATCAATGTGTGGTTGCCTCTCACATGCCCTCTACTGGGAGGCCTGGCCCCCAACCCAGGCATGTGCCCTGACTGGGAATTGAACTGGTGACCCTTTACTTCGCAGTCCAGCACTCAATGCACTAAGCCACTAGCGAGGGCTACCAACACTTATGTAAAAGAAAATTTTTTTATACTATAACCATCCTAGAGGGTGTGGTAGCTGATTGTGGTTTTGATTTGCATTTGGCAATGTTAAACATATTTCAGTGTGCTTATGAGTATTTGTGTGTATCTTTGGAGAAATGTCTGTTATTTTTCTGTAAATTGGGTCTACTGTCATTCTTTTGCATGTGGAAATCCAGCTGTCCCAGCACCATTTTTTGAAGCGCATGTAAGCTTATTTTTAAAAATAATGTATTGGAAGCATACATAAAATTGCAGAGGATATGAATATGCATTTACCTATTATTAGCTGTTAACAAATCTTGCCTTTATATGCTTTAGACAGATAATTTTTAGAACAAAGGACACAATTGAAGCTGTTGCTGAATTTTTTAAAATTAAATTTCAGCCGTGGCCGGTTGGCTCATTTGGTTGGAGCATCATCCCACACACCAAAGGTTGTAGGTTCGATCTCTAGTCAGGGCACATGTGGGAGGCGGCTGTTTGATGTTTCTCTATCTCCTTTCCTCTCTAAAAACAAAACAAAAAACGTATCCTTGGGTGAGTTAAAAAAATTAAATTTCAGTTATCAAATGAATAAATTAGGTATAACAGTAACAGGGTTATGGTGAAAATGAAGGTGCATGTTTGTTGTTTGCCTTGAATTATAAGGCTGAATAATCTAGAATAATAGGTTAAGTTTCCTGGCACTTGAGTGATTCAGACTGTTGAGGGCTCAGATTTGGTTTTGAGGGATCCATTTGTCCATGGGAGGAGGGAGGAGGGTGGAACTCACCACTGAGCAAGTTATTAATTAATGGTAACTTTCTCCTACAGTGTGCCCAGCTGGCTGGAAACCTGGCAGTGATACCATCAAGCCTGATGTCCAGAAGAGCAAAGAATATTTTTCTAAGCAGAAGTGAGCACTGGGCAGTTACAGGGTCATGGCAGCAGTCAACAGCCATGTGAACAAAACATCTCTTTTACTATTTTCATGTTTAAAACATAATATCTTAGATTTAGGCCAGATGTGGTACGGGACAGGACAGGCCTTTCGTGCAGGGTTTGGGGAGGCTGGCATTTCTTTTTCTGGAGGAAATGGCCTGAACTAATGGAGCGGGCCAACTGATGTATACAGTAGTGGGGCATCACCTTTTATCTTTTGTAGTTTCTATTAAACTTGAACTGAGACCTTGTTGTTTCTTTATTTTAGAGGGCATTAGCCTTTGACTTACTGTTTATTTTCCTTCTTTAGCGGTGAATGAGAAATGAGAGCTACCTCAGAATAAGGAAATTAGAGGGAAAATGCAAATAGGGAATGGAACTAACAGGATATTAATATTGTTTCACTATATTTGGGAAGAAGAGCAAGACCTGCAGTGGTATTGGCCATTGCACTTCCGTTTATTTCTATAGGCTGCATTGTAGGTTATAGCTCCAGTGACATTTCTTGGGCATTTACCCTTCACACTATTAAGAGGGCTACATGAGAACCTGAAGCTTGGCTGCTTCTGATAAAAGCCTGCTATTGGTTCTGTAAAAGGTCAGAATTTGAGGCTCTGTACTTTTGGAACTGAAATGGGGAGACGACCAGCACAAGGTTGAACACTTCTCACTTTTCCTGGGTTCTAGCCTTGATTTGAGGGTAGCCCTTTTTTGACCCTCATTCATAATTATTGTTCTGAGGGAGGTAGAGGTGGGGTTGGGACTACTGGGTCCTTGTGGCTAGGTCAGATTCAGAACCAAGGATACTGCAGTGTATCATGGTGATCTTCCAGACACTTATCTTTATCAGCTACCCCAGCCTACCTATCCCTTCAGTATTCAGACAGCAAGACCTGTTAACAGCAGCACAGGATTCCCAGGGCCTTCAACAACAACTGAAACATCATAGGGCCAGTCATTGTTTCAGAAATGTGTTACAGCCCTGGCTGGCTTGGCTTGGTTGGATTGTCCTGGAATTGAAAGGTGGTGGGTACAATTCCAGATCAGGGCACATGCCAGGGTTGTGGGCTCAGTCCCCAGTTGGGGCAAGTGCATGAGGCAGCAGGTCAATGTTTCTCTTTCCCCGTTCTTTCACGTGAATAAAATAAGCCCTAAAAAAATGTGTTCAGTCCCTGCAACAATACAATGAGACTTTTTTTAAGATTTTATTTTTAGAAGGGAAGGGAGGGAGAAAGAAACATTGGTTGCCTTTTGCAAGCCGCCCACTGGGGGCCCAGCCCACAACCCAGGCATGTGCCCTGACTGGGAATCAAATGGACCACCTTTTGATTTGCAGGCTGGCACTCAATCCAATGAGCCACACCAGCCAGGATGAGACATTTACTTACACCATTACTTCCAGGATTATTGCCCCTTAAGCTCTGCATCAAGTAGCATGTTGGAGCACTGTAGAGCATATATTCCAAAGGAGGTGGGAATTCTGGACTTGCCTCCCCACCACCCCATTGAGATAATTAGTTGCTCTGATCTTTAATTTCTTGTTCTGATAAAATGTCTGTGAGCCTTATCTTCATTGAAGAGCTCTACTATAATTCTTTTATCAAAAGTAATCATCTTTTACCTAAGTAAAATCTTTGCCTTGCCAACGCTAAATGAGCCCTAGCAAGTACTATTAGTGAAAATAGGGATCCCACAGGGGAGGGAGCTCATCAAGGACCAGGAGATGTAGATGGTGAGGCCCTGGGACTCAGCCACCCCCGGGTTCTGCTGGGATTCTGAGATTTGTTGGGTAGGAGTGTGTTCAACAGAAGCTCCGGGGATGATGAGCTAGGTTTCTCTGAAGGTTGGGCCAAGCCCAACAATGCCAAGCGTTGGGCAGGTGGTGTGGAAAAGTAGGTCTTTTGCTCTTCAGAGTAGCGCTCCTGAGGTGTCACAGCATCCCGGTAAGCCCAGTCACGCCAATGAAAATTGAAGCCTTCGAGCAGGGCAATGCGGTCAGCCCTTGCTGGTACACAGTCGAGGGGTTTAGTGGGTGGCAGATCTGGCACCTCTACGCCTGGCAGCAGCACTACTCCTCGAATGGCAAACCAGCCCCCAAATCGGGGATGTATGCACACACCTGATATATGCTGGGGAGAGGGTAAAGAAAAGGTCATGGGTGTCACCTTGGCACCAAGTTCAGCTACCACCAGTGCAACTAGGCTTACTCGTTTCTCACTCAGCGGACAGTGGCTCCACATGCGAGCCTTGTTACTCTTGTAGCTGGGCAATCTTTTCATGAACTCACTCTGGCCACAAGGGTTTCTGAAGCTAAGCCTCAACTTCAAAGTCTTAGCACTGATCTAATCACTGCTTTGCCCCTTCCATTCTGTAACATGGTTTTACAGACTAGGTTCTCTGACCTGATGTGTCCCCGCCCATGTGGCACTCCAGAAAGCACGAGGCTGGACCTCTGATTGTGTCTACAAACTCCCTTTTCCCATGGGATGTGGAGGAATGTGAGACCTGGTATCTTGATGGGCCTTTACCATTTGCTCAAATCTCTTACTCATACTTGACCTCTGACCTGGGTCCCCCAGGGGTCAGCCTCTACATCCTGTCGTTGGTAGTAGTAAGCAGCCCCTGCCACATGGGCTGCCGTCTGGGCCAGAATCTTGGGGCGCCGGTTGGGGTGTACTTCATAGTCAGCGATGACTTCCATCTGCAGCTCTGGGAGGCTCTGGGATGGAGGACAAGGTGGAGGCTCCTTTTAGCATGAGAAGAATCATGACCTGTCCTAGAGAGCCCTAATTTGTGCTAACAAGGTCCAGCTCTCACAAGTCATGTTTGAAGGGAGAACAACCTTAAATTTGGGGTGAGGGGCTCTAGTGTGAAGAAAAGGATGTTCTGTCCAGGAGGCCATGTTTGAAGGTCTTGCTCAGAAACCACCATAACGAGTGACTTGGCTCTTGGAGTCCGTGTGTGTGTGTGTGTGTGTGTGAGAGAGAGAGAGAGAGAGAGACTTGGTTCTTGGAGTCTGTGTGTGTGTGTGTGTGTGTGTGTGTATAAACATGTATATGTGAGTGAGTGGTGGGGAAATACTATTTCGTCCTCAAAAGGCCCCAGAGACAACATAGAAGCTTCCAGTTTTAGGGTAAATATTGGTGAGAGATTTCTGGGGGATGCTGGGCTTATTTCTATTTCACTTGTAGGTCAAGGGAAGTCTGGCCTAAGGTTCGTATAGTTACCCATCAGGGTAGGGTGAGTAAGAGTGATTTCAGACCAGGGGTTGCTGCTAGAGGAAGATGGCCGAAGTTGGACTGATTGGGCAGAACAGGGAGAGATGGTAATGTCAAGGATGGCTTTAGGATATCATCCTAAAAGTCTAGATCCTGCATTGACCTTGGGAGTGCAAAGCAGTTGCAGGTTTGGAAGCTGAAGGATATGAGTGTTGCTCACCTCTCTCACACGGCCCAGGTGGTAGGCCACACACTGGTCCACAGGGTCAGTCAGTGGTTGGAGGTGGCAGCTCTGCAGGAAGGGCTTGAAGGCCTGGTCAAACATGGCAGGTGTGCTGAGTACCAGGAAGGCCAGGGTAGGTCCTGGCAGGGGTAAGTGGAAGGCTGGAGGTAGAAGTGCATTGTACCATGCCACCTGGAACAGAGAATTCATACCTTAACCTGGCATTCAAGGCTTCATATATTTTGCCCCAGCCTCTATCTCATTCACTGAATCATTGAATTTCTAATGCCCTGGTCGGTGTGGTTCAGTGGACTGAGCGCCAGCCTGCGAACCAAAGGGTCACCAGTTCAATTCCCAGTCAGGGCACATGCCTGATTGCGGGCCAGGTCCCCAGGAGGAGGGCACCTGAGCAGCAACCACACGTTGATGTTTCTCTCCCTCTCTTTATCCCTCCCTCCCCCTCTCTAAAAATAAATAAAATCTTAAAAAAATTTCTACTGATGATCTATGATGTGTTTATGGGGGATTTGTCTGAACTGGACAAGAAGGTTAGAATAGGCAGAGAATTCATTCAAAAAGAACAAAAAGAAATTGTACTGTGACTGGTGCAATGAACGGGCCAGGCGAAGGTCCTCTGAAATCAGAAAAGGCTTCTTGGAAGCTGAGTTTTTAAGGCTGGGAGGAAAGCTGACAGGTTGATATGGGGAGAGAGAATCTGTTGTATATTCTACATGGAGGTGACAACATAAAGAGGCAAAAAGTACAGGGCATATTTGGAGAAAAGCAAATTGTCTAGTTGAATAGAAGTGAAGGGTCTGTAGACGGGGGCAGAGTGAGAAAAGATTGGAGATCAGTAGAGTGACTGGCTTTGGACACCAACTTAAGGAATATGGGTCTAATTTGGTAATTAATGCAGGGCCATTGAAGATTTAAGGAGCAAATTGACTTGATCAATTTTTAGAAAGATTAATCTGGCTGCAGTATGGAGGATGGACTGGAGGCAAAAAGACAGCAAGGAGGCTACTGCAGTAAATCCAAATGAGAAATGGCCTGGAACAGAGCACAGATGTGTTGGATGGAAGGAAATGGGTTTGGGAAATTCAGGAGACAGATTCCTAAAGGTCCTTGTGGCTGACTGGATGTGGGGTGAGAGAAGCAGGAGACTAGAATGACTGGCAGGGCTTCAGTACAATAGCTCCAACTACCCAAGTCCACCTGATCCACCAGATTGCATCCTTACTATCCCCGATACGTGCTACCCACCACCTCCACGCCTTTACTCAAGTTGTTCCAGATATTTGGGATGTGCATAACTCTCTTTCCTTCCAATCTATGTTTCCATATAAAGCTCAGCTCCATTTTTTTCCTGGAAAGTCCTCTCTCTCAAACTAGACCCAATTTACTCATCCCCCTCTATATCCTCCCCCATCACTGCTGTGGGCCACTCAGTGGAAGGAGTGAGGGTAGTCTGTCTCTTAAACATCAAGCAAAGGGCTCAAGCTACACAGCTCAGAACAGGGGGCACTGGACATGGAGGAAATGGACTTATGTAAACAAGGGAAAGTTGTGGAGCCAGGCTTCTGCGTAATTCGGGTGTAGAGTTTCTATACCCAGCCCAGTGCTGGTGACTGGCAACATCATGAATTATCCTTCTGCTCGTGGATGGAACAAACCAGCCAGTTTTTTGCTCCTAGTGTTCAACACCAGGAATGTCCTTCCCTTCTCAAATGACCTAAATCCTAGCCATGCAAACGTTCCAGGCCTTGCTCTCTCCTGACTTCTTCAGGAAACTTCCAAAGTGACTCTGCCTCGAGGGTGACTTTCTTTACATAAATTACGTAAGTGACAGAGCCACAAGGTCACTGGACCATATGGTGTTTCCCATTCATCAGTCCGGCATTGTATGGGGGTAAAAGGACAAATATGCGACTGCTCCTACCTGCCAAGCTCCTTTTGACACTGTCCTCGTAGGTCAGATGGACATGGGACCCGAGGAACTCGGGAAGGATCAGAAGGCTTCCCGGCCTCATGCCAATATCACCGCGGCCAATTGTACACCTTACCCTAACATCGTAGGAGAGAGAAACCAACCTGGAAGGGGTAAACCTCGAAGCCAAAAGGGCACAACGTGTCCTCAATTTTCTTCTTCAGTTCTGTGACTTGCGACTCCATGCTGCATGCTACACGCCGAGTTTACTGGGGAATGGAGTCTCAAGTGTACGCTGAGCCGTTAATTTTCAGGGTAGCTTGGACTCCATTTCCCAAGAACTCATGCGACGCGCAGCGAGACACTGTTGACTCTGCGCGATGCATACTGGGATACGTAGTTCATTTGATCCTTAGAACCACCACTGTAGAATCAGAAAGACTCGTCTTCCCGGCAAGCTTCCTGGCTTCCTGGTGGGGGTGTGAACGCACGTATTGCCTCCAGGGAAAGGTAGTTCGGTAGCCTGTTTCAAGGGTAGTCTCTGCGAGAAGCGAACTCAGTTTCCCAAGTGGCTCTGCGGCCGCTGGTCGAAAGGCGGCTTTCCGGGCCTACTGGAGGGTTTGAACGCGGCGGCGGCAGTAGTAGCTGGCGTAGGTTTGGTGTGATGGCGGCAGCATCCTGTGTCTGAGGAGGTCTCGACCAAGATTCATCACTTTCAACTCCCTCCTGATGTGTCCACATCAGGGTATCCCGTTTTTCCCCCAGTTCCCCAAGAACGCCTCCCCCCTGACTAGTCCCAGAGGAGCAGTTTTGGTCTAATACTGCATCCCTACCCTTAGAATTCCCTATTTCAATCTGACATTGTGGCCTTTCCTGTGCTGTGCGTCGATTGCCCCGCGCTGGGAGAGCAAGGGCACAAGACACCAGGGAGACAGACCCCTACCGCAGGCTATGAGTAAGAGTCTGAGCTGGTCCGAGCAGCTCGACGCGCTTCTCAGTGCTACTGACGGAAATGTGGCCAGGATTAAGGTAAGGGGAAGTGAGGACCCCGGTTAGGGAACGTGGGATAAAGGACTCAGATCTCATTGAACACACACTTACTTCTTTTGTAGCAGCGGTTGTATCCCCTTGGCGTCTCTGCTGCAGGTAAGTGTTGCCCCTTTTTCTCTCCCCTTTCAGGATGTTTTTTCCCTTTTCAGGAAGATCCTGAAAGAAATCTCTTTCAGGATCTTCCTCTACCAGTACCTGTACCATCCACTCTTCCTTCCAAGTGTCCAGCTATTTCCTTTCTTGAACAAAGATGTGTCCCTCCTTGTCCCGCCCCCAAGTCTTCTTTCTTCAGCAGGAGATCTGACTGGAACCTGGATTTCCCCTCATCACTTGCCTCCCCAAGCAGGAGCCCAAGCTCAACAGCCTTGGGCTCTAGAGACTCCTATTGTCCCAGAGAGAATGGGTTGGGCTGAGACCCAAAGCACATTGTCTCTCAGGGATGAAGTTACAAATCTCAGATCCCAGCTTCGATCCCAGGCTCAGGTGAGGCTTGGAATACTAGGTGTGTGTATGTGGTGTTTGTATGAGATGAGGATACCTGGGTTTGGAGAAGCCCCTTATCCATTAGCTCATGTGGTTTTCTACCTGGGTAGGTGACTGAGGCACTAAGGCAAGCTGTGCAGGGCCTTCTGGAAGAGCAAGACCAGCAGAAGTACCAAATTTGTGCCCTGGAAGGTATCTGGCCAGTTTATTTCTTCATACACAAAGCCTCATACATAGGCAAACAGTTGTATTACCCAGTTGTGTGAGCTCTTGCATCTTGATTTGAAAGTGGAGTCTCTAGGCTTATACGTGATGCGTTTACAGGGGCTGATCCCTCAACTTGTCCCATTATAGCATCACTAAGGTTGCTGCAGCGGGGCCCAGAGCGGAAGGCTCTTCTTTTGGAGCAATACCTGGACAGGCTTAGAAGGGAACTGCAGGGCCTTCGAAGCCAGGTGCAGGAACAAGCCCAAGCTCAAATACAAGCAGGACCACAAAAGTGCAGTGCTACCAGTGGCCTTCACCAAGAGCTACAGAATGAGTAAGTGATGGGCAAGACCTCCCCTTCAGGCCTTTAAATTTATGGTACTTTGGTGGCCATCTCTGGTCTTGTTGATTGGCTTTAGACTGACTGCTGTCATCCCCACAGGAGGCAACTGCTGTGGGAGGAGTCAGAGATTCTGAGGGAGGAACTGAAGTTGCTGCGGGACCAGCTGAGTAAGTAACAAACTGGAGGAGGTTATGAGTTCACCTGTTCCCTTTTCTGGAAAGCCTTCTTTTTCTCTTAGTAAGTGGCCATAGCTCTAACTGCTTGAACTATTCAGCAGTGTGGCCAAGTATTTTGTCTTGCCTCCAAAGGTATGAGTTTACTCTCCCTAGTCAGCTTGGAAGCTTCCTGTCATCTGGACCAGCATGCTTATACCTGAGTTCATCACCAGACTGGGCACAAGACAGGGAGCGGGAAAAAAGAAGTTGGAGAACATCTTACATTTTTCTTTCATTTTCAGCCCAACATCAGGAGCTGATGCTGAAACAGATGGCTGAGGGGCGGCAAGCTCAGGCCCGCAGCTGGAAGGTAGGACCAGGATTGGACCTATCCCATCAAATCTCCCTGTGGAGGCTCCTTCCTTTCTTTGTCTATCCTGTCTGCAGGCAGGCCAGGATACTGTCTCCCACCTCTATCTCTTTCTCTTCCCTGTGATGACTCTACTTCCCTTCAAAGCTCTTCTTCCCAAGCCCTCTGTTTCAGGCCATGAGAAATTGTCCTTGCCCACTGAGGGCTCCATGTGTATTGAAGAGGCCAATTATGGGGAGGTGGGGAGTATTTCATCTGGAGAGAGAGAGGTTTGGTTCTACCTGGGACCAAATCTGGCAGATGTTGGAGCAGCTGCAGAATGGCCAGGAGGGCAAGGAGCCTGCCAGGACAGAGGCCCAGGATGCCCGACGGGACCATGACCTCTTCAGGTCAGGGGGTGTGAAAGCTTGTGGCAGTGGAAGGGATTTGTTTCACAGAGGCCAGGCACTGGGGTCCAAAGTTTAGCTAACCTATATATGACATGAGACAGTTAGGGGCAGTATGAGTATTTGGGTTACAGTCCATAAGGGAAGTACTGAGCATTCTTTATGTGGAGTCAATGAGGTATCTATATGTTTGGAGAATAAATGGGGAGTTCTGGCCTCAGAAAGGAGGACAGTTCTTTGCTGGAAGAGCCCTGTTGACCCTCCATCACCATTTCTGCCTCTGGTTTTGTTTCCCTTTCCAGGACTTCCACTCACGTCCTCCAGGCTAAGCTACCCCTAGCTGCCACCTTTGCCCCATCTATTCCTTCATCTAACTCTGAAGCCAGTCGTCAGAACAGTAATAGTAGCTGGGAACTTTTAAGGAAGCTAGGTGAGGGTAAGGGCAGGGAGCCCATATCTGGGGGAGGCTAAATCTGAATGGTGCCCAAATGCCACCTGCGTAATTGTTTGGCACTAGGTAGAATGGAGTCTCTGCCTCTTTCTTTGTGGGTCCATCAACCTCTCTTGCTACTTATCCCAAGTCAGGCCCGTATGTTTCTCCACATCAGACAGGTCCAGGACCTAGTTCTGTGTATCAGAGTGCTTGCTTATGGATTTTTTTCTCTTTCCTTTCTCTTCTCTTAGATCTCCAGAAGAGCACCCTTTCTAACCTGGAACCCAGCAACTTTCAGCTCCAGGCCCAGAGTCTTGAGTAGGAGGACCTGTCCTTTAATGGCCCTAAGGTGCTCCTGAGTGACCTGTAAGGACTTGTAAGATAAAGACTCCTTTGCTCACCTTCCCCTCCAAGGCCCTATTTCTGGGATCCCAGCCCCTCCCCTATTGATTCACCTGGTATCTGCCCTCCCTTCTGAGGCTTGTCGCTGCCTGCCTACTTGCCCACCAACTGCAGTAAAATGGTTTAACCCTCCTTGATGTGTTTTCTGTGAATCCGTATCCACATGGCATAGACTCAGCTGTACCTTTTCCTCCTGTAACATGTCTGCTTCCTGCCACTTCTGTCTGAAATCCAAGTTAAAGACATTTATAGCTGTACCTTCCGAGTTCAAACTCTGTGTTCAGTGGAACTTGGAAGGAGGTGAGAGCTCCCATTCTGGTGGGTAGAATGAAGTAGAACAATACTCTGAGGCAGTACTACTGTCGGGATGCAGAGGCAGACAAGACATCCTGGCTGGCCATGGGCCTGGGCAATAGGAGGCTTTCTCTTCTTGTCTCCAGCTTCTGTTCTTGAGGTTCACTCTGGCCTTTTCACACCTCCTCATCCTTAGCAGCCCAGCCTACATTTCTGTAGCAGTCTGCTCCCTCATCTCTCTTCTTTCAGTCTCTCTGCCTCTAATCCAGGGACTTTGGAATATTTTGACTGTGACCTCCAGTAAGAAATAGTTTACATTACAGCTTAGTAAGTACACATATGTATATTTATTAACTGAAACAAATTTAATGATTTAATACTTAAACTTCGATGTTTCCTATTTCATTAAAAAAAATGCTTTGTGGCTGTTGGTTGTGATCCTTCCGTCATGTGGTTGCCCTTTGGAAAATATATCTTCCCAGGTAGACTGAGGGAAGAATTACTTTCTTCTTACCTGAGCTTTGTGTTCTAGACAGGATTTCCATAGTGGCAGTATCTCACTGAGGTTTCATGAGATCTCTTCCACAGCTAAATATAGCCAAAAGATACACCATTCATCAAAGTGGATGTTTATTGAGCATAATACATACCAGTTCTGGTATGTATTTACCCTGAGCCAAGATGTGCAATGGGCTTATTTAAAGGTCCCATTTCTTAGCTCAGTCCAGCTGGGAAGAAGAGACAGTTATCTGAAATAAAAGCATCGTAAAAAGCTGATGGCAGGAACTACTTCCTTTATGGGGTGCATTCAAGGCCCTGGAATAACAGGTCATAAAGAGTGGCCTTTGACAAATGAATAAGGCAATCCTTGGTTCTTTTCAGCATTAGGGAGATTGCTGAGTGGAATGGCAGAGACCAGGCCGGGGTCAAACAGAACCTGTTCACTTGATCTTAGCCAAAAAGTTGAGAAGCAATCAAACAGAGCCTGTTAAAAAACAAACAAACAAACAAACAACGAAAACTTTCCATCAAAGCTCATCTTCTTGCTGAACCAAGTATAAGGAGCCCCTGACTTTATTTATTTATTTATTTTTAATTAATTATTATTTTTTTTTAGAGAAAGGGGAAGGGAAGGAGACAGAGAGGGAGAGAAACATTGATGCTAGAGAGAAACATTAATCAGTTGCCTCTGGTATGCACTTCATCTGGGGACTGAACCAGTTACCCAGGCATGTGCCCTGACCAGGAATTGAACTGGCAACTTTTTGCTTTGTGGCATGCCCAACCAACTGAGCAACCTGGTCAGGGCAAGATTCCCTGACTTTTAAATCTTTTACTAGTCAAGTGATACATCTGGCATGGTGGCATTATTCAGTTCTACTTGCTACCAGTACTCTACTTATTCATCAACTACTTTGCATCAGACTGGGAGACAGGTTTGCAAGGGTGCCAGAGCTGTAACAGCAGAACCATTTAGTGACTATGTGGAACAGTGGTATTTGAACTGTCACCAGGTGGCAGCACATAACTTGTTTCCAGAAGAATACAGAAAAGGCTTTGGGCCAACGGGACTGGGCTAGGGTGTTCTCTTTTCTCCCTTCAGAGAGCCTGTGAACTAACCATTAATCTTCCTAAAACTGTCCTGTTAGGGCTTATCTCCTGCTCAGGGATCTTTTATACACAGCATAAAAAAAGAAAGGACAAATTTGGCATTGAAATCCAACCCACTTTTTTTAATAAAGATTTTATTTATTTACTTTTAGAGAGAGGGGAAGGGAGGGAGAATGAGAGGAAGAGAAACATCTATCAGTTGCCTCTCACAAGCCCCAAATGGGGACATGGCATGCAACCCAGGCATGTGCCCTGACTGGGAATTGAACCATCAACCTTTCGGTTCACAGGCCAGTGCTCAATCCACAGAGTCACACCAGCCAGGGCTAACCCACATTCTTATCTCCTACCACACAGCTTTTAAAAACTGTTGCTACAAGGAATATATACCACTTATATCCTTATCTATGGAGAATATGTTTCAAGACCCTGAGATGCCTGAAATCAGAGAGAGTACTGAACCCCATATATATTGTTTTTTCCTATACGTACCTATGATAAAGTTTAACTTATAAATTAAGCACAATAAGAGATTATCAACTAAAAATAAAATAACAATTATGACAATATATAGTAATTAAAATTATGTGAATGTGGTCTCAAAATATTGTACTGTACCCACACTCTTTGTGACGTGAGATGATAAAATGCCTACATGAAGAGATGAAGTGAATGAGACGTTATTAAGAGTTAGTTACCCGAACGCAAGCAATGATAACATGGCAGTCCAGATGGCTACTAAGTGACTAACCCCAGGGGGGTAGCAAATGCAGCATGGATATGCTGGACCAAGAGGTGATTCATATTCCAGGCTGGGTGTAGTGGGACTACACGAGAATTCATTTTGCTATACAGAATATCTGCAGTTTAAAATTATGAATTATTTCTGGAATTTTCCATTTAATATTTTCAGACCACAGTTGACGATGGGTAACTGAAACTACAGAAAGTGAAACCAAGGATAGGGGTGGATTACTTATTCAGATTCCACTCATCTGTCAAGACCCTTGACAGTGAGTCTAAATATGTAGGAAAGGTGAACTCTAACCCCAGGGAATGCTGGTGCAAGAAGGCCCCATATTCCACTGTTCCTTTGCCTGCTCTTGCCTTTCTAGAATCCCTGGCCCTGTTCTAACCTGCTCTGGCATAAGATTGATTGCCGAGGTCCAGGAATACGGAAAGCATGAAGAAGTGTGTGCCTGTTGAATAGCTGAATAGAATTTTATTCTCTACCCAGCTTTCAAAATCCTGTTTTCAAGCCAATTCAAGTGTTACTTCCTCCGAGAAGCGTTCACCAGAATTAACCTCTTAGCCTAGATTAATTGCTCCCTCAGCATTTGGTTTAACCCTACCCACTGCTGCTACTATATCTCAAGTCGTTAATACAGTAATTGTTTATGTAACAGTTTTCCTCATTCAGTATACTTGGATTCATAAGGACACTGCCTTCACAGGACTTTTCCGTAAACAGTCTTACCAAGCTGTACCTTCACCAACCCAAAAGCCGCGCCACTCGAATCCTTTTTCTTCTGGGTTTGTCAATTACCGCTGGTTTATATGCTTGGAATTTTGATTGGTCCATTTTGTGTTTACTGCCCGCCTTCTGTGAGGCTCATGGACTTGGGGTTCCACCAGGTGTATTCCCTCTGTCTTGGTTCCTCCTTTTCAGCACACTGCCCCTTCTGTTTTTACCTTCACTTCTTCCCTATTGGTTCCCTTCGTCCTCCAGAGTTGGCGCCTAGGGCTGTTGATTGGCTTTTCTGGATGCTCATCGTGCCCACCCTCATACCACGTGGCATTCCTGACTCTAATTGGGCAATTCTACCAGCTCGTTGATTAAGGTTGACTATTGGGAGGGCTTGAGGAGGGGGCGTGGCTCATTGAAGTCCCGCCCCATCTCTGACCGGCTGGGCAGTCGTTTTCAGTCGCTGGCGGCAGGGAACTCCAGCGGATCTTCTCTCTGCTCTCTCTAGCTCGTGGGCCGGGTCATCCTGGCCCCGCCAAGCAGGCGTGGGTAGCGGCCCCGACCTTGGGGCCATGGCAGTGGACTCCTCATCCTCCGCTGCTTCTAGACCCGCGGAATCGCCGGCTTCTGCGAAAAGGACCCCCACCACCTCCGCAGGCTAAAGAGCCGCTGCCCCCTCGGAACTGTGAGGGCTACTATGCTCCTTCTTTGCCGCAGCTTCCCCCTCCCGCTCGCCCAGTCACCCCTCTGGCTGCTGAGTCCCGCCTCAGGTAACGCCGAGAGAGCGCGTGGGGCACAAATCCGGGGCGCTCCGGCCCGTGCGCGCGGCTGCTGCACCCGCCTCGGCTCCGGAGCCATTGGCGCTCGCGTCTCTTGGCACCGACAGGACCTCTTCGCTTCCCAGAGGTGCTCCTCTCAGCTGCTGGGGACACCCCTCGAACCCTTCCCCTTCCTTCTCACTTTCCTCAAGGTCCTGGGACAACTCCATCCCAAACCCTTCACCTCCTCAGCCTCGGAGGCCTGGACCCATTAGAAGTTCCTTCACGTCATGGACTTGGTCCCTGACTTCTTTCAGGGACTTTGCTCACTTCGAACACTCAGGAATCCTTCATTTCTTCAGAGAACTGTTTCTGAAACTTCCACCTCCACACTGAGAGCCTCCTCGTCTCAGTTACACCCACCTCCCTCAGAGATCTGGTCTCCCTCACTCTACCTCCCTCAAACTTAACTCCTCCCTGGAAAACATCCACTTCTACCCTGGAAAGAAACTTCCCTCCCCTCAGACACTGCTGCCTCCCTCTCTTCTTTTCTCCCCTGTATCCCTCTTCTCCGCATCCCTTCTTTTCCCTTCTCTACTTTTTACCCTTCACTTTGGAAACTCTGGACTAAGCTAATATTTAGGTTTAACTAGAAATGAAACTCAGGTTTGTCTGATTTTAAAACCTTTCAATTTATACCCCTGAGAAAACCTTGCTGAAGAATTTGGACTTTATTCTCTAGGTATGGGGAGCTATTGGAGATTTTGTAAGGAGGAGTTTGGTATGATTGATTATCTCTAATGAAAATGTGGAGGAAGAATTGAAAGTTGAAGACAGTGTAGAGGCAGAAAGCCTAGGTAGGCAGGAAACTAGTATGCTAATCGGGATTTGAGGGAATGAACTGGAATAGTGGTAGAAAAATGAAGAAAATGGCTTGCAATTTATGAGGTTTCAAAATAGAGTGAGAGTGGCATGCAATTCTATGAGGTTTCAAAATCGAGGTGACAATTAGTGGGAGGTTTCTGACTTGGTTGATGGCGTGGATTGGTTAGTCTTAATTGAAGTGGGGAACAGTCACTTG